AGTTTCTGAAGCTTATCGTGGTTTTAAAAGCTTTAGGCATTTCAAAGGTAGCGGCAGCTGACATTGAAAAGCTTTTAACCAGCTCATTATTCATTTGTATTAATAGGTAGCATTTCCATCCAAAATATTCAGGTTATCGTTGACTAAAGTCCAGTCTTAACATTCTACACATATTGTTTAATGTTAAGTGTTGTTAAATAAGTTATATTAATCCAAAAATTTTAAAATTAAAACAATACTGACTTTTGAATCGGAAAAAAGGGAAATAACAATAAATTGTTTGTTGGCATTTTATTTGTATTGTAAACAGTTGTTTGTAATTTATTAAGAGCATTAGGTTATTTAATTAATGTTAGTAAAAGTATTGTTGAATTTTGCTTATACATTTCTGTGTAATATATAATGAGCAAAGATGAATTGATTAGATAACACCTGTAAATAAATGAAAACCTCAGATTTTTTACTGAATAAATGTGTTATTTCATTATCTATTATCACTACTCAAACTGAAGCCTAAAATTGTGGCCCCAGGCGTCGCCGAAACATTTAGTTTGTTTTTGTGTAAGATTTTTCAAGCAAATTTTCATTGTTTGGTATACAATACATAATTGTAACATACTAACACAACAAATAATCACAATAAAACTAAAACTACGAATACTAAGTTACAGCTTATATAAATAAATGCCATGTTCGTTGTTAGATAAATAAGTTTTTTTTTAGTTAGAAGGCTGGCTGGTTGTGTTTAATAATCATAATAATCATATTCCAACTCAATTAAGCTTTACATTTGTAAGAACACAAGCTGTATACTAGTTTCAATTATAAATACAGTATAATAGGTCTTTGCTATGCTTTTACAAAACTTATTTGTCATTTTCAAGGATATCAACAATTACATTGTATTTGGTTTATGTTTCTTCTCTGGAAAAATAAGAAGTATTTTAAATGACATAAATCCTGTAAAACGACCACTTAAAGACCTAGATTTTTTAGAGTAAAATACTAGAGGAGCTTGTCAATACATTTGAATGGAAACGCGACTCTTCATGGTTGTTTCCCAAAGACAACAGGTTCATAATCTATCTAAATTGACGGATTTGGCACTGCTGAGGGATGTTGAGAATGATGAATCCATCAATAAACCATATTGATGTCAAGGAGTTGTTCTTCAGGGAAAATCTGTCTGATATTAAGACAGAGCTTCAGGTAAATCATTGATCAAAGTAGGCTTGAAATGATGAAAAAACTAAAAAGAAAATATTATGTTTAACAGAGAAATATAAATCTCATTTATTTTGTAGGTGTACAACACCTTCGCAAGACATATTTAAAGATCCTGACAGAGAAATGTAACCATTTTTAAAGTCGTTTTGATAGAGAGATATATTCTGATATTGTCATAACGTCACCTTTTCAACAATCGCATGTAAACAATATTTATATTCACAGTGAATATTTAAATAAACAGATTTGAGACTTTTGTAGTTTTTTGGAAAACAATTATACATTTAATTAAATAATCATATAATATTTGAAATACACTAAAATTAAATGTGACTAAGTATTTTTTAAATTTATTTTGGCATTGCAAAGAGTTTTATAATAATTTGGAATATTATGCTAAAAATGCGTAGTAATTTTCTAAAGTTTGAAGTCCCAATAATACTATTATTTTTTTAAATATACTACGACCTAATTGTTTTTATCCTGATAAACTTATTTACAGTACTTAAAACATAGCCTAGCAATACTGCTAAACAAGGAATGTAACTGTTTACAAGAATTAAATTTATCTCAACAACGATCGGAATACACTAAGAGCGGTGCTAAGTGTTTAATTAACAGTAGAAACCTCTTGATCTCGTTGCTTGCTAAGGCAAGGACCTATCGGATTTTGCGTTGGCACGTGAAACTTTTCAAAAAGCTTGTTCTCGAATTTTAATTATCAATGATTGTGTTATATATACAGTTTTAATTAAAGTGGATTAAAACGTTTAGCATAATTTTCAAAAACGTCAAGAATCTCAGTTATTAGTGCCTTTTCATATAGAACTACTTTAATTTCTCATTATTTAAAGTTTAGGTTGACAAACATTTCCTAATACAACATTTGTAAACGTTTATCATAAACCTCATTAATAAAATTTTCTATCACTATTATAATTTCGGAATGTTAAGTGACATTTGTATATTTTGAATTAAAATTTTATATAATAATTTGTTTGAAATTTGTGATACCTGAATAAATTAGGCCCATTATAATGTCAGGCCACTTTTAGTCTGATTTTAAGGAGTGTATGAATATTTCTGTTTTGTACATTTTTCAAAAGTGCATCCTTTTTGCGTTGCCTAAGCAAATACAGTTTTTTACTATGGAAATACCTTTCAAGAGGCACAGTACCCCATGTAAAACGTTTGCTGGATAGACGAATTCTGATACTAATTCCATATTCAAAGAACACAATTTCCAGTAATTTCAGCTTTAGCTAAGCAAGATAATAAATTTCCGGTTCAGTCCTCAGCAACTGCATATCACCAACAGGATATTATCTTTCCCATGTTTTTAAAATGGACAAATTTATGTGGAAATAAGTCTGCAACTTTCCTGTAAAAGGCTTGAAAAATTTGCCTAAAACACTTGGGAACAAGGTCAACTCCTAAAAAGTGATTCAGTCGATTTCTTATCAAAATCCTTTATGAAATAATCAGTTCTGTACTGACTTATGACTTACTTCGAGTATACTTAGTACTGTACTAATTGATTTCACTTAATCTTAGACACTTTTTAAATAAATTAATCAAAAATTATTATGAGATTAAATTATTTTGAATTAACTCCCTTAATACTAGGCGATTACTCGATTTCAAGCAACGGGTATACAATTAATGCTCTTAATCGCATTAAAATCCCACAGCGTAACGAAGTTTCAGTAGTTTATGTAGTACATGTCTTTGTAGTGTTTTCAAATTTATTAACATTAGTGTTTCCCCACAACATTAAGATAATACTACATTGTAATATCTTACTAGTCTGATACTCTTCACAGAGTATTGGAAACATCTAAATCAAGTGAAATGTGTTCTCATCTCTACGTTCTCTACAATGTTACTCCCAGGAAATCCTCTGCCAGTGATACAAAAGCAAAAAAAGGATAGTAAAATGCTTCAACGTATTTTAAAAATTTCACTAGCTACCAAGAAAAGATAATAACAAGACGCTATACCACTGATACCAAAGTAAACATAAGATTATAGGTGCGCTCAGATCAGGACAATATATTGACAAATGGAGGGTAGTGTTAGAAAGTTCTTTCCAGTGTTACATCATAGTTATTTACAACTAGTAAAATGTATAAGTTTGGGTATTTGGCAAAAACAGTTAACTATGTACAGTATTATATAATTTGCATGATAAAATAGTAAATAATCTATATATTAATAGGCAAGCATGATTCTTTAAAACCTTTTTGCTCAGCTCCTGTACATCGCAGGGAAAACCTACACATATTGTTCAAAGGTATTTTCCGAGAGATGTGCAGAATCCGTTTATAAATTAAAATAAGCTCAAAAATAAGCACAAAAATAAATTTTAAAAATACCATGGGCCTTATGGGTTGCCATGCTGGTTACGAAATAACAAAGGAATATAAACAGAAAATCAAAACAAAAAATTCCAATCACATGTTTTATTTAAAGTTTGGGGTGAAAGTGAAAATAAAGTGTCTGTACATTACATACTTTTGGTCGAGTTTTCGACCAATGGACTTTTGCATAAATATAAAATACTCTAGCTCTAAAAAAAAAAAAATAATAAAAAAATACTCTTTAGCTCTAGTTATAATTAAAAAATAGCGTTATAAATAAAAGATTGGCTATGCACAAAGAAATTAATTAAAAGTACCATTCGATAGTATAATTAGAATTATCGGTGTATCATATTACCGGTGGAACTTTTACCACTTTAAAAGTTGTGATGTAAATACAATTGTCATCTGTTTGGTTTTTGAATAGCTTGTTTGTTATATAAAAAACAGAATTTTAAAAGAACATTGTATAAATAGTTAAATACCTACCAACTACTTTATTATAGATGGATTTTCACAATAACCGGTAAAAGGGAAACAAAATGTTTTTATTAATACTGAAGTCAATACCAAGTAATTTAGGCATTCCACTTATGTTGTACCTTAAGGTGAATATAAGCCTGTTTAAAAATACCCTTAATGAAACTATAGTTACAAGAGTATTTGTTTGGAGGTTTATCACCTAAGTACCGTCTTCGGTAGCGAGTAAATATATTACTTAGATAGTGGGTAGTGGGTTAGTTACATATCTCACACACAAAAAAAAAACCTTCAAAATGTCGGATGTAAAACTTCCTACTTTCGATTCGTTATTTTATTTTTTTTTTTAAGACATTTCAATTTAGCATATTTAGTTTTAAGTATAACTTATATGACTCCATCAGGAATGGTGTATTATAACCTGCATAACCTATTAAGCAGGATACCTTTAGTTGCGAATCACCATCTCATCTTTAACTATACTCTATTGTTATCATTATTGACAACAATGCGCTACTAGCCGCACAATATTAAGGATTATAAATGTTTCATTAGACAAAGACAAGCTCTGGGTTCTGAGAAGGGCTGAATATTGAGACTAAGAGCCTGTTGTTGTAACATATTGTCCCATAAAACAGGCTCTTCATATATCAAACTGTCTTGTGTGGTAATGCACGACTTAAATATATCAGCTTTAAGTTTGGCTTAGATTTGAGTGTGTTTATCTTTTAGCAACTGAGTGGAATTAAGACACGTTTTTATTGTGACATTGATTATTTTTTTGAATATTTACAGAATTGTCCAAATAAAGAAGATTTGTGAACACACATTTTCAACGTCTTAACTTTAAATGTTCTAGAATAGTGTTAAACCGTACATCTACTGTGAACGTCGAGTATATAAGTATTATCTTTTTTGATTGAACCAGAGCTCCTATTGGCTGTCATCAGCGTTTTGAAACTGTATGAGAATGACAAGGTAGGTAGTTACTGCTCCTGCGATCTGAAAAATAGCAAACAATAAAAAAAACCAAGTCTAAGAGTGGAATTAATAATTTACAGCAGAAAATGTATTAGCTAGTGAGCTAATAGTAAATACAAATTGACGTTATACAGACACAACATCTTTTTAGTTGCCACGTACAATTGGTTAAACGACAAGAATGAAAAAAGAGAAAATAAGGTTATGTTACAATGTTCATGACAATATAGATAAACGAACTAAAGACACAACTTTTAGTTAAGCTAAAAATCAACCTGATAGATGGACAGGTAAAAATCATTAGAAAATTACTATACAGAGAATAAACTAATGATAAATATAGCTATCGCTTTATATACAACTTTGCATACTCAAAAGTGACCTACCGATGTCAATATTGGGCAGTGCAGAGGAAACAAACCAAACACAGTGAACTCCGCCTTGTAGTGAAGCAGTTGAAGAACAAACGTTTCCAGCTGAAAAGTGTTGATGAAAAGTTGGTTAGTTAGCTCGGACTATCAATGTAAAAAACGTTTTACTAGTTATTACCAGGCAAAGTTTTATATATGGATATCAACATAAGCCATATAATGTAGGAGCTATGACTAAATAACTTGGTTAAATACTGTCGAAATAAACTTAATCCTTAAAATTTGTCATGCCAGAATTTCTTTACCTCTAGAGTTTTCAAATTCCAATAAACGTATTTCAAAGAGTGTACACAGTGTACAAAATACTTTTAAGATGCTATAATATTAATCACTTCTATTAGACTTTCGTTCAACTAAACAGGCGAAAGACAAAAATGAAATAAAGTCCTATCATAAACACTATAGGTTACGGAATGTTTCGGGAGAACAAAATTAACAAAGTACCACAAGCGAACCATCTGAGCGTGTTCATAGATATATTCATTTCACGTTTTCCTAACTTGCTCAGCAATTAAAAAATTTTACTTTTTATTAAGATATCCTATCCTTTGTTTATTTTAAATGATAATTCATAAAAGCTGTGCCAATCAAATATTGTTTAAAATATTTTAAGTCCATTTGAACTAGCAATTTCACAAGAACCGAAATACATGTAAAATTATGAATACTTGCTTGTTTTTGTGTTTCAGGTCGCATTTCTCTGTTAAGATGTCTACATATCATTGGGGCGGTTTTCTGAGCCTAAAATGAAGTTAACAAGAAATTAGTTAAAGGATACAATTGACTTAAAAATTACAATTTTCTTTAAACAATCTAAAAAATCATATTTATTCGGCTATAATGCTGACCTACGACATCCATCCAGGGGTTCAGTGGCCCTGATAGGAAGTCATCTATTAAAAATGAAACAAAAAAATTACCATTAAAAGAAAAACATTAGGTTACCTCTTGAGACGCATTTGTACAAGGAATCATGAGAAATATGAGGTTGAGAGAGTGGGCGATGACCCAAGCACATTGGTGGAGGAGGAAGGTGATAGACTTCTCCGACACATGCTCCTTGGAATACAAGTTGACTGAGAAGAAAAGGAAGTAAGGGGCGATGATGATGTGAAGAAACAAGGAGAACATGTGAGCGAGGAGGGGCCAGCTAAAGATACTGTTGGTCTTGTGTATGATGCCACAGAGAGTCCAGTGTAGATCGCTGAGGCGAGGGAGACCAATGAGGTAACGGACTGTGTCATCTGATGTATCTGTAAAGGAACAAGTAGAACATGTGAGATAGGAGTGGCCAACTGTAGATACTGTTGGTCTTGTGTATGATGCCACAGAGAGTCCAGTGCAGATCACTGAGGCGAGGGAGACCAATGAGGTAACGGACTGTGTCATCTGATGTATCTGTAAAGGAACAAGGAGAACATGTGAGCGAGGAGTGGCCAGCTGAAGATACTGTTGGTCTTGTGTATGATGCCACAGAGAGTCCAATGTAGATCGCTGAGGTGAGGGAGACCAATGAGGTAACGGACTGTGTCAGCTGATGTATCTGTAAAAGGAAAAGTAAACTTGTCAAAAATCCAGCCTAGGTATCTGGACATAACATAAACCAGGTGCTTATGTTATCCATATCAGCACAGTAGTACAAGAAACTTGTAATAGGCCTACTGCTGCTTGCGATAGTAATACTGCTACTCACTTCCTGTAGTTAGTCCTAACCATTAGATCCTAGTACTGAATCTTACAGATACAATTTACATCATGCTAACCTTATTGAGCCATCACAAAAATTTACCTGCCACAAAGTCATACAAGCACTATTTTAGTCTGACAAGCTGTCGAAGAAGCTTTAAATAATTGTTAGGCCCTGTACCGTTAGATAAATAAAAGTTTAAAAATTGACGTCCTTGATAGACAGTAATTAATTAATTATTGGTTAATTCAGTGCAACATTTGAACTTTAAGATAGGCTGAACTTAATATAGTTTTTCAAAAGTATGATTTTAATATGATTTTTCCTCTAACTTAAAAGTAAATAAACAACAACATACAGGCTGGTTTCTCCACTGCGGGCAAGTTGGTGAGTTTGAGGAGTCCGGTGAACCTGAGATGACTCAACTCGTTAGAGATTCGTTCATTGACGAGTCGGAACCTCGCCCTGATGCTGTCTACCACCGTCATGTACTGCAGTTGGAGAGCTAGAGCAGTGAAGTGCAGAGTAACCACAGGCAGATGTACCGGCACTCTGGAGTGGAACTGGCCATTGACAGAATAGACAATTGTAGAGTGGAATATTAACATAGAATATATTTTTTTGTCCTATGACGCTAGGCACGAGCCTGGGAAAGTTTTACACATTACTTCAGGCTAGACCTAGGGGTTGCGGCATTATTACTTAGATAAAATCCATTTGTGACTTGGTGGGGATCGAACCCGGGACCTCAGGGACCGAAGTACCTAGCTCTAACCACTACGCCAGCTCACTCCCCCAATAGAATGACATAGAATATACGTGTATTACATTAATGATAAGTAAATGAAAAAACGTAAAATAACACTTAAAACATGTCTTTCGTCTCTTATATGTTAGGTGTTTCAGACTATTTTTTTTTACTCTTATGGATAACACTAAATATTTATTGTATTTTACTTGCTAAAAATAGACTAAGTATTATAAATCCTCACACAACAACTGATAGAGAACAAGACAGTTAGAGAGATAACCCCAGCCAACAACCACAGCTTGTAGTGTGAGTGAGAGGGCCGAGTCTTGATGACGTCATCAAACCTCTGCAAGTCTTCGTACAGCCGCACCAAAGAGCCAAAGTGTCTAGCAGAGTTGACCACGGCCACCACTGCAGACAGGCTCAGGGAGAATATGTCGCACAGCATTACCTGCAGGGGAATTAAGTTATTTTGTGGTTTTGGCAGGGACAGAACATAGAAAGTCGAATAAAGGACTTGCCAGAAAAGACAAGTCAGAAAAAAACTTGATAGGTATAATGTATAATATCGGTGGCCAAATCAATTCCCCACAGCGAATGACTTTTAAGGACTGATTGGATTAGAAATTAGACCTTCATGTAGATTCAACTATTTGATAACTATTTCTTTCCTTGTTTAGTAAGTTACAAATTCATTTAAAGCCAGAAAGTAGGGGAGGAAGATACTTTAAGATAGCCTAAGTTAAGTGAGAACATTTCATTTGAAAGGAGTTTTTCCAACCAACCACAACATAATGACCAACACTTTTACTTAATACGTTAAAATAAGCATGCTGCTCTCGAGTTTTTTTTTTTCTAAATTAAATGTTACGTTTTACTTTGCCGTAAGTCTATCGATTCGAAACCTTGTCAAACAATAAACCTATATTTTATAAATGATTAAGAAGAACCATTATAATAAGTACACCCAATGTATTAAATCATTATGAAACTAGTAAATAAACACATATTTTAATTAGTCTTACCGCAAAAGTCGTGTTGTTCTTTATTTTGACACCTGTTATGTTCAGTTCGTAGTTTGATGAGAGAAAACAAGCAATAGCTTGGTAAGATACAACTGTTAAACTGTAAAAGAACAAAATTAGAGAGAATTTCACTTTATGAGTAGGAGCCAAGTTGAAACTCGTTGTAGGAAATATACCTAATACTGCAAAGAAAATCAACAGAACTTTAGGCAATAAGGGTTCCATGTTAGGAGTAATATTTAGTAGAAGCTTTACACCATACTGAATTTACCTGGTGAATTTACTTTGAAGACTTTGCTCTACTTTATACAACGACAAATATTTACCTTCCATGACATCGTTGGTTTAATGTCACCATTTTAACTTGTCTCCCTTCTTTACTAAAAAATTCCCCTTCAACACCCAAGAGAGGTTTCCAAGTACTTGTTTATAAAATAAACAGTTCCCAGCTCTCCGTAGTGACTAGGAATTTGTAAGCAGTTCTCAACTAGGGTAAGAGGACAACAGTTTGCTTTTTTACTTGATTTTTATAAAAAGAATCTTTAAGAAAATATTCCTCTTTTGTATTTTTGACGCTAACAACAAACAGTAAACCTTATTCTTTTGTATACGGATTTAAATTAAATATTTTGCACAGTTTTATGTAGCCATCTAAAGTGTTTACTTAAAACATAGTTTATAAATTATATTCTTATAGTTATATTATTCAGACGAATCCTTAGAAAATGTTATTTTTTACGAATGCTAATTATTTAGTCATACAATTAAATCAGATTGTTCTGAGTTTTTAACTTAATTAGTTTCTTTCTTCGAAGTTAATTTTTGTGAAGATGTTATTCCGAAAAATGTTCAACAACAATACTTAACATAACGTTAATTCTTTATCCGTAATTCGGGGCTCATGTAATATTTTGCTAAGAATTCAGCGAGAAAAACATTAATCTTCGTAATATATAGATATTTAAGAAAACTCTTTCCAACCAGTTCCAGAATTAAAAAATATTTAAGTCAACGCAATTAAGTATTGAACGGGACGAATAATTTCTAAAAACGTGACTGAATAAATACAACTATAATTATTTTTAGAGATGCATTTGCCTGTATCTTTTTTGATGTCCCTGTAAGCCACAGGTGAAATGATCAAAATAATAATTTAATGGAAATGGTATAAATAAATTGGAAAGATATCAGTTTCAGCATATTGAAGGCCTGCGGGCGGTTTGTATAGAGTCTGACTTTGTTTGTTTTCAATCAACTCTTTCTATTCGTTAGGGATTTTCAATATGGACTGCATATCTAGCTCAAATAAGTAATCTCACTAGGCATACGGTATTTACATATTTCAAAAGTTTAACCCTGAATATTGTTATCTTACTGGCTCCTTTAGATGTTAATGAGTTGGTTATTGTCTCTGGTATAGGTACTAGTTCAAAAAACCTTTGTGACGTTGCCTAGCTCTTATTAAGGTTATGTTTTCATAATTTAACTAGATGTCATCTGTTCAACGCTTGTAATGTGAACCTAAAATAATACATTAGCAAGAGTTAGAATGCAATTTATTTATAGTGATTTTCACCAGAATTCTATTCAATATGTGCTGGATGAAGAAAAAACCATTACTCAGCCAAATATCAGTATTAAACTATTTAATTCCAACTATTCAAAACAAAATTAAAATCATGAGCTTAAAATAATGAAAAATATTGAAATATGTTATTAGAATGTGTACCAATACACAAAAAGTATATTTAATAATGTTGATAGTAAAGTTAAGGTTAAATATCCACCACAATTAAAATGTAGCTATGATAAGAGGTTAACCTATTAGTTTCTCAATCTCGTTCCTAATTAACCCAAGAGCAGAAGCCAACTGCACAGTGTACGTGATTCTCTTACAAATAACTTAATTCATTTACATCTCCAAGATAATGGTTGCGCAGCCGTGCAGAAGGGGTTCGGTAAAAATGCGATGCGTTATAGGAGCTTCTTTACCACTTGAACTCATTTAAAATAATTATAAGTAGGAGGGGCGGTGATCGAGAACCAAGTAGGATCTGCGCATGAGTAGGCGGGGTTGATCGAGGCAAAACCACCCCTAGAGTGGTATTTTAATCGATAGGGGTAGTAAACATAACTTAGCTGTTAGGGGGTAGTTTTCGTAATCATATGTAGGTATTTAACATACCAAACTAATTATAGGATAAAAAGTGTGACCAGGTATCGATCCCGGGGCTCCTAGGTGATGATTTTATGTCTTTGCCATCCAGCTATGGAAGCAGTTGTGTTGTAAATTGTAGTCGTCAACTGTTCAACAACCTTAATTGTGTGTTACCAACCGATCATGTGACCACATACGCAGCTGTTAAACATAACCTCAAGGTGAAATCCTTCCTGCCATAACCTCACTTTACGTATTGTGTACGCATTCCACCAACTGTTCCCGCCATAACCTCACTCTACGTATTGTATATGTAGTCATTTCTATTTAATTATTAAACTATGTAACCAAGATCGTACTGGATACGCAGCTGATAAACATATTTTCAAGGTAAAATTCATCCTACCATAACCTCACTCTACGTATTGTGTACGCACCCCACCAATTAACCTCTCGCCAACTCTTACCAATGACATAACCTCACTTGTGTACGTTGTCACCCTGCTTTCCTGCCATGACCTCACTTTACGTAAATGTAGTTATTTCTATTTAATTATTAAACTCAGTTACAGTTACGTGTTTATATTGGTAAACAATAATACCAGCTGATCATATGACCAAGATCGTACTGCATACGCAGCTGTTAACCTCACTCTACGTATCGTATACGCATTCCACCAATTAACATGACCTCACTCTACGTAAATGTAGGTGTCTAATAGCGATTAGCGGAGTTCAATTGCTGATGATAATGTTATTACCGTCAAT